CCCCCCCCCCAGGCCTTTGCATCAAATCCCACCACAGTCCATACTTGCACACATGTTTTAAAAACAGAGGTTTTGAAACTGAGTATACTTTTGAAATTTAACAGTCTAATCGTTTAAATTCTTTCTTGTTATTCTTTTACAGAATGTTTCTTGTTATGACAGCTTACAAATGATTTTTTTCTTGAAATAATAACAAATATTTCATCTTATATATCTTAAATTGTTCTTGTTTTTCTAAGAACAGTCAAAGTTACTCAGATCATACAATGTTTAGTAAAAATGTGATAACAAGTTTCTTCTATATGTTATTTAAAAAGCTGTGTGGCTGATTTGTATGTTTTAGATATAAAACTCCAACAGTAACATAAACAGTCAGATAATGAAGTAAAAATATAAAATACATAATGCCGCTTAATGTATGCACATGCTAATATGTTGAGCTGTAAGTTTGGTATGTGTTCCAGTGAAGGCTGGACTCTCTCTGCACTCCAATGTACGCTGCTCCTTTGTGGAAGAGCTACAGAGAGAGCAGTGTGCAGAAACTCACTGAAGCATATAATGATGGATTTAGGCTGAATCTCAAGTTGCAAAGGTGGAGCAGTGCAAGCCAAATGTTTGTTAGTGTTGGAGTTCCTACCTGTCATGCTATATTTCACAATCTGATGCACAGTTGTATGTGTAGCGTAAAGAACTCCAGAATGTAATTTGCATGTATGCATTTTATTTGCTTGTGTGTGTCTTTAATAAAGTGAAATCAACTGAACTATAGTGATAGAACAATTAGAGAGGGACATAAGAGGGAAGTAAAAGTCAAGCAGGCTTCATATGCTACTTAAGTACATCCATCCATCTATTTGCTTCCGCTTATCCTTTTTCAGGGTCGCGGGGGGCGCTGAAGCCTATCCCAGCTGTCAAGCACTGTTTGTTAGGCGTGGTACACCCTGGACAGGTCGCCAGTCTGTCACAGGGCTAACACACAGAGACAGACTACTTAAGTACAGTATAGTGTAAACGTACTTAGTCACATTCCAGCTTCCTCAATTTTCCTGATTTAAGCCAACTCAAATAAACTGAGTTGATCAGCTTTTTAACGAAAAATACTGGTAACTTAATTAAAGGTAATTAATATTTTTAATTAACGCCAATATTAGGTTTATAAGGTATAAGGACATAGATGGTTTCTGATGGATTAATGGTTCTATTTATATTGTTTATTAACTATGTTCTGATACAAGATGAAGCAATCACATCGTGTGTGTGCGCGCGCATGTGTTCCTGTCAAGCTATCTTTGTGAGGCCTGAAATCTGCATTCTACTATACTTGTGAGAACCAACAGTCACTTGTGAGGACACACACACCGGTCCTCACAAATTTGAAGGCCTTTTTGAGGCTCAAAATGTGGTTTTGGTGTCAGGGTTACAATTAGGTTATGGTTAGGTTTAGGGTAAGGGTAAGTGTTAGGGTTAGGCATTCATTTTTAATGGTTAGGTTTAGGGTAAGGGGCTAGGGAAAGCATTATGTCAATGAAGGTCCTCACTAAGATAGCTGAATGGGATTGTGTGTGTGTGTGTGTGTGTGTGTGTGTGTGTGTGTGTGTGTGTGTGTGTGTGTGTGTAAAAGCCCTCCATGGTAATCACATTCTATATGTCATTGATACATCTTATAGAATGTGATGACGTCACAGCTCCAGAGCTGTGTTTTCTCCACAAACACATGTTACAGATTGCTAATGTTGATCTGTAACTGTGATTTTCTTCCAACCTTGCAAATGTTCCATCAACAAATGCAGAAAAACATGCAACTCTGTGAAGCCCAAAGATCCCAGAATACGTTGGAAAGTCTTTCCGATGAAACCTTTTGGTTTAAATTGAAAGACGTGACCACCTACGGCCATCTTAAGACGGAAATTTACACAGTGGGTAACTGGATCCCAAAATTCTGGGAGGATGAAAAATCATCTGTGCCACAGATAGAGCAGATAGTTTTTGAAGAACATTTCTGGACCATCATGGTAAACGAAGTCCTGTGTGCCCACATCCAACACGAAGCCTTCAAGGTGGCTGATCTGATCAGGAGAGAATGTGAGAGTCGAAAGAAGCCAGCAAGACAAAAGAAGAATGAAAAACCAGCCAAGCTGCGCCAAAGGACAACTTCTTGTCCGTTCTGAAAAATTTTGAAGAGCACGCTCACCTCCAGAAGGAAGCAAATAAAGTGGCTGAGCTGATTAAGAAAAGGGACAATCTTTTGTGCATCCGTGTTGGTATGAAGACTGTAATTAAGTTACGTTTCAAAGCTCATTTTTATGTCTCCATGACATCAACAAGCACCTGAAATGTAGTGGGCAAACTCCAACTTGCAAAGGCCATCACTGTGTATCAGGTATCATAAATGTGCTTCAGTTAGCTAATGGACATGACTAAATTCAGTTTCCTTTTTTACTGCAACATCTTCATTTGCAGCTTTCTTGTGTGTCTAAATGAAAAGCATGAGATCAGGTGAATTTATAAACTTGGGTTGTCCATGCAGTATGTGTTGATTCATTATCACAAAAACAAAAGGCAAATTACAAGAAGCTATATTTGGCTTAAACTCTACATAAAGGCACACAAAGTCTGTTTACTTCAGTTCATCACTGTGTAGTCATGCAGTGATGGACTATACTCCCTTCCACACATTTTAATTATTATTATTTTTTTAATATGGAGATCTGTAAACCCTCAAAAGCCAAATATTTATTTGAAATACTAATCGAAGCAGGTGATTACGTACTGAAGGCATGAGTGGCATCACGTGCCGCTTTTATTTAAAATGTTTCTTTTAAGTTTGTTTCCAGGGTAACTTGCCGATTTCAGCAGCTTATTCATTGGGAGACCAATCCACGGCCTGGAAGCGTGTTTGGGATGATTGTCACACTGCAAAATGAAGCTGTTGAAAGTCAGATACTTTCCTGATAGTACTGTGCAGTGAAACAAAATCTGACAAGATCCTCACCAGCACTGGCTGAAATGCTCCCATCACACCATCACAGAGCGTCAGACACTCCCTGTTACTCCTCTGTTCACAATGCTGACAATGATTTGAACCCAAATTTTTAAGTTTGACTTCATCTCTCCATAAAACCTGTTGCTGCTGATTTTCAGTCCAAAGAAAAACTCATCAGAAAGACGACAGAACTATTGCTTGAGACCACTTTAAACGTGACAAGAACGTCTGGTTCCTTAGAAGCAAAACAGAAAGAAATGGGGGGTGGCTCAAGATTTTTGCACAGCTCTATATGGTGGAAGAAAATCTACTGCATAGAAATGAGTCACACCGATTTTAATAGATCCAAATTATGATTTGTGTTGTATAATGGGGTCTGGTGGTTCCCATTGCAAGAATCACCGTTATTTGCTCACATTAATCCGTACCATCATAAGTAATTTCATAGTGATGCAGCCACATGTATCAGACATGGCGCCCTGGCCTCTTATCTGCTAACAATGATGAATGGCTCACTGCAGCCAGTGATGAATAGCTGTAGGCTGCTCTTCATTTTCTGCTTCATTAAAAAAGTATCGATCCTTTTTCACACAAAAATCTTCAGCAGCACCTCAGACGACTCAGGCGACCACCACCACACACTGCACCATCACAAAAGTGCTTCCTGACCCTTTACTAAACTCTAGACTAAACTCTAGACTTAGTTTGGGAATCAAGGCAGTAATGAATTTATGTCCAGCCCAATGCTAAAACTGTATCACACTCACATCCTTAGCCTTAGCCTGGTTTTGCTCATTTAGGAATGTTGCAGCCGATTGCTCTGGATTTCTAAGAAAATATATTTTAAAAAAATTTATAATTACTACATCCTGATCTTAATGCACACTAAACAGTTTTGCTTGATGACTCAGTGCTAACCAATCTGACAGGGGTTTTGGCATTATTTGGGGTTTGTAGCACTAGTGTGATTTCATCCTGCAAAAAAAAAAAAACAAGTGAAAAGGATACGCAAAGTAATGACATTAAAGATGAAAGTGTGTAAGTGTTTTAAAAATAATAAGATCATAACTAAGATTTTTTAAAAATATGTGTAACACAAATGTGATAGACATATTTTTAGATTCTGCATGGCAACACTTTTCAAAGTGCTGTCTCAAATAAACCTGAAAGAAACGATTCAGATGTTAGAATGAGTAGCTTTAGTGTTGTTTTTTTAATTAAAATGCTTTCACATTAAATCATGTTATCAGCTAATGCTAGCAACCCTGGTTAACAAGTTGCATCCATACACTGTATGGGAGCAACACACATAAATAAACGAATAAAATATAATTTTACTCACCAAAACAGGAGCACAAACTTCAACAGCACCACAAAAAGATCTGATTTAATGACTGGAATTAGCAGAAGTGAGGCCCTGCAGGAGCACCTGCCTGTGTTGGCACACCTGTCATAGCAGTCATGCTGCAAACTTTAAGACCAAACAAAGTCATGAAAGGTGAATTATAAAAAAGATTCAGGTTCGGCACATTTGTTATGGAGGAGGAAATTTGCTCTGGACTGAAAGTGATTTTTCTCTCAGGCAGTAAACGTGCTATTTTCATTGATGACGTTGGGCGTTTCAACACTGGAGCCTATGGGGAACGACTCACTTTTGAAGCCAGACTCAAGTGGCCACTAGAGAAAGCGCAGTTCTTTTGACATTTTAGAAATGGCTTCATGTTTCAGCCACTGGAGACTGCAACTTAATGTCCACTGTGTTTTCAGAAAAATGTCATCGAAGTATCGTAGAAAGAAGAAGGAGAAAGCGGCTGCTGGAATATACAAATGCAATCCTTTCATAACATGTGTTTTTTCTTGTGCAGGTCATGCCATCATTTCCAACTACCTACTAAACTACTTTCCTGGTCTGGACATCGAGAGGAGGAACTGTCACGGTTTCACAGCTTTGATGAAGGCTGCCATGCAGGGCCGGGCTGAGTGTGTTAGATCGATCATGTTGGCAGGTATATAAATGCAATAAAGATCATGAAAGCCTCAACACCGAGGGAACAAAGAAAACATTTCTAAAAATTATTGTGATTTTCAAAACACCCCCCCCCCACACACATATCCATACAGGAGGTGATATCCAGGCTCGGGACTTTGGCCGGAAAATGACACCCAAGGAGTGGGCGCTCTTCACCGGTCGGTATGAAACAGCCCGCCTGATGAGTCGGCTGATGTCCAACCCTTGTCCTGAGCAGTTCTGTGACTCCTTCTCCCTGGAGTGGCCACTGCTGGAGGTTAATACACGTTTCTTAATTTTGGATCAACTGTTGAAGGCACCACATTTAAAATATAATCCAATTTTCAAGTTAAATGTTTCTTTTTTAAATGAAATATTTGGTCTTCTACAGGAGTTGGTGGCCCAGGCCCAAGAGCCAAAGACCTGTAAGCAGCGTTTGATCAACCTTCTTTCCTGCTGCCCTTATAGATTTTACATCAACAACAAGGTAAAACCTATGGAAGATGGTGTCCTTGAACACATGGTCCGGATCACCACGGGACTGTCCAGTCCGCTTATCGCCACAGCTTGCCGCACGGTGTGCCCGAGCAGCCCGCCGTGCATCGGAAAACGTCGTCACGCAGTGCAAGAGATTCTAAAGAGGCAACGTCTGGCGGAGCTGAAGCGCCTGGGCCCAGAGAGGCTAAACAACTACAAGAAACTTTTCCAGAACTCACGGATCCTCCTCATCCCCAGGGAGAAGGATCGGAGGGCCAGTCTCCAGCCTCAGCTGCTAAACAACATGGCAGTGGCGTCCACAGTGGCCATAAGACGAGCCAGCCTGCTGCCACTCCATATGCTGAGGAGAAGCAGTGTGAGGCCGGGCCTAGTGGTTCCCAAGGTGAGGCTCTGCAAGGCCCCAGCTCCAAGCTACAAACCAGAAAAACTCAGAAGGAACAGTAACCAGAACCAGCTCCAGATACCCAAGTGGGATTATAAAATGAAGAAAATAGGGAGGATGCAGGAGGAGGAGCGGCAACGACTGCTACCCCTGATTAGGAGAAGATGAAGGACCAAAGAAAGCTAAAGGAGACGTGACTTACTGTAGCTTCAAAGTGCTCAGTGTAAATCTCGACATGGCTCTCAAAATGCATATTCTTGCAGAAAAAGACACTTTGTAGACCAAACTGCTCATTGTCTTCTTTGTTAGGGTTTCCTGCAATGTTGCCTTTTTTTCTACTTGAAACCACTCTTACTTTTCAAGGTGCACTTTGTGCTGGAATGTGGCAGATATGGGAGCACAAGAAAAATATCATGTACATGTAACATAATATCTCTTATTTGTATGTCTGTTGGTATGCTGACAACATTCATTGTGTATTATTATGCATTCTATGGAATGTGGCAGAGAGTGGTGAGATGCTTATTCAAAAAAAGGAAAACATCACACATTACTCATTACTTTTCTTAAAAGTAACACAGTACTTAATTACTCATCATAGAAAGTAATCTGTGGACACTAACGGTTACATTACTTACATGTTACTCTATAATAAGTCCTGAAATGCACTGTCACATTAACTATAAACCTGAGGCTACAGTCCCACACACTGACACAAATCCCTATCCTGATGAGGGCACAGCGTTAGCTTTAAACACAAAACCTACAACAAAACACAAAAACGAAATCAGGACAAAGAGAATTTAAAGGGATTATAGAAAAAAACCTCATCACTGCCTTTATTACCTATCTAAACCCAGGCTCTATCTGCTGGGGTGGGCTCTTCATCCGCCCAGCTATACCCCTCAGCTAGCTATTCGCTAGCTTTGTGTTAGCAATAGCATGCTATCTATGCAGATGCCCCTGAAGAGCTAATGTTGTGTTAGCAGTATAACACACGTGTCTGTCCTGAATGCAGTTTGCACTTTGCAGTTTTGTTCTCTCATGTTCTCTCAAAATAAAAGTTGTAGACCTTTTTTTTAAATTTTCCTCCTCCCTTAACTGAAATGAGCGGATTACAGTGCAAGTGCACATCAGGACGAAGTCATAATTGATAGTTTTTTTTCCTTCTACCTGCCCATTGTGCACATAATTTAGGAACCTTTGTAACTCATGTAATGAGTTCATGATATGATTGCTCAGCTTAGTCCAATAATGTGTTACATTAACTGTGTTATTTAAAAATGTAATGGGATAACAGTTACGTGTTACTTTGGAATGGGTTAACACCCAACACCATAACCCACCTATAGGCAAAAACCACACACTGCTGACCTTGTTGCTTGAAAACAATCCAGGTTTAACACACCAGCCATTGTTAATGGTTGACCTTCTAAGGTCTAAGCCATCATACGTAGGAACCCTAAATCTACCCTAACTCTGTATTTTGGAGAAAGCCAATATAGACTTTTTTCACTTGGGAATTACAAGCAATATATTAATACCAAAAATGGCACATTCTGATTTTCTAGGGTTAGTGCTCGGTTAAAGCTGGGGATGGTGTAGATAACATCATATTTAGAGGATTAAGCACACTGAAGGTTGTAAGATAAGACAGAAGTGAGATTATATCACAGGACAGAATGGTTTGGATGGAGACAAAGAACAGCAACGGGATGAGAGGTGTAAGAGAGGAATGCAGACATACAGAAATCATAGAGACACTATAGGGTCTGTTTTGAAGCCTCATGTCTCATATTTCATCTTGGTATTTTGACCGATGAGCGAGGGGTGATTCTGGCTGAGAACCGAGAGACCCTGTATGCTCACATGACAGCAACTTATCAAACAGAACATTTGGACATCATATTCTACTCAAGGGGATCAAAACTGAGACTCTAATCTTACTAGGAAAGGGTGTTTTGGGGTCATAGATTACTTTATGCCAGCTGCTTCCTTAAACTGAAGAACTCGGTTAGGTCTGTCAGACTCTTTTATATCATCTATTTACTTTAAATGTAACACAATTTTTTTTTTAAAATTAAAACAAAGTTCCCCATTTATTTTTCAGTTTTGGAAGCTGTGTCCATCTTTTACAGTCCATGGGTCCTATTTACCTTAGAAGAAAAAAGGGTAAAAGCCTTGGAGAAAGGGCACAACGTATTGGAAACTGACATACACATTTATTGGAGAGGAATACCAAGAGGGCGGGAATGGGGCTTTAAAGAGCAGGAAGGTAACAGCCAGTTGGAGGGATTTTAACAGGATGGAGAGAAGAGCTCCGACGCGGCCAAATGATGATTGGTGACTGGCTGTCACAGATGATAGCTGCAGACAAGGACAGCTGAACATTCAGGAGGAAGCCAGCAAGCCATTTTACATCAATACATAGTACAACAGGAATTTTCATGGAAGTGGAGAGCTTACGAGCAGTTCTTGATAGCTGAGCTGAGAAGCCAGCTCACGCAGGCTTTGTGAGGGCTTTGTGGAGAATTTGAAAGGCAGCGCCAAAAATAAACAGCTTAGTGCTAGACTGTGACTTGTTGACTTCACAAAAAAACACCATGAGAAACATACACTGTCGTCTCGAACCCTGTGCATGAGATGAAACACGTGTCCCAATTGTTCTGAACAAACATTAAAACATTTTAAACTTGCCAGCTCCATACTTTAAGGTCTGCGTGATGTCCGACTGCGCCCATTTGCAGGCAAATGTAGAGGATTCACTGTGTGCAAATCATTCCTGCTGCCTCCTGCATCATCTATTGGCCATCTAAACCAGATTATCCATTATTGAGAACATGTCAGAAAGGGCATCTTCAATTTTTGGCTAATGTTGAGGACGTGTTTACTGTCAGGTACTGTATAGATCCAGTGCTCTGTGAGTACTGGTGATGGTGTGAAAGTCATCCTTAGCTCTTCCAGTGCAATGCTTCAATATTTTGGCTAATTTTGCTCCAGAATGGTCATAATACAAAAAAACATTTACATGTGCTTATATATAATACGAATATATGTGTTGTGTTACTATAAACAAAAGTCTGAAGGAAAAAAAGATCAGATATGGTATTATAGTGGAATTAGGACACTATGTATAAAAAGCAGCCTTATTTCTGTGTGGAGTTTGCATGTTTTCCCCGTGTTTGCACGGATTCTCTGGCTTCCTCCCACAGCCCAAAGACATGCAGTTAGTGGGGTTAGGTTAATTGGAAACTCTAAATTGCCCATAGTTGTGAATGTGGGAGTGAATGTGAGCACGAATGGTTGTCTATGTCTATGTGTTACTCTGCAACAGACTGGCGATCTGTCCAGGGTGTAGCCCACCTCTTGCCCTAAGACAGCTGGGATAGGCTCCAGTGTCCTCTGCAACCCTGAAAAGGATGAGCAGAAGCGATGGATGGATGGATGTGACCTTATTTGCCCACTAGTGGAAACCACTGAGAACTGCAACAAATGTACATTAAAGGTGTGCGGTGCCATTGTTTGTAGTTTCCCTAACCCTACCCTAGAAATATTCAAATATGAGTAGTTATTAGTGTATGCCAGAATTATTGTATGTGTTGATTTCCTAGCATTGCAATTAGATTATGTCACAGGGTTAAAGGAAAAGCCAACTATAAATATCCTAGTCAGGCGCTTCAGTGTGCCTTGTTATGGATTCCTCGAGTCTCGAAGTCTACTGGAGAGATGGAACAACACTCTTTCAAAAGATATTTCCTCATTTGCTGCTTTGATGATGGTGGAGGGCAGAGCTGGGTTGTGATCAGGTGACTGAAAATGATGTGAATTATTTTAGCAAACCTTTGTTGATGCAGTATTGTTATCCCGGAAGAGAATATTCCCATCAGGGTAGATAGAGCCACAAGACCACCAGATTTCCTCAGTGTTGTGGTTATAGCCTCAGTCACACTAGAGCAGTGGTTCCCAAGCTTTTTTTGCTAGGCCCCCCTGAAAAATCTTCGTGGACTGTTCGTCCGTGATTTGGAGAGCCCAGTGCGTGCTCCCGATGCAGGGAAAACCAATTCTGCAGGGGAGACCTACCTTGGCAGTTGTGCAGGTGAAACCAAAGGGAAGATATGCTTCACCATATTTTCTAGTCTTTGGCTTGGAAGGAAGTTGGTTTGGAAATATATTTGATGATGCTTCATCTCCTGCTTTGCGTTTGTGTGGGAGCCCCGTCAAAAACCTGTCCATTATGCTAGCAGTGTCCAAGCGTTCTTTTTTCTTTTTTTCATACCGCGGCGCGGTTCCCACACTTTGGGAACCTCTGCACTAGCGATAATGGGAAACCTTGTGACTAGGAAAGATTCAATTGAATGCTTTTTTCGCTCTCAGCAAACGATTGCAAAAAGTTGTAGTGATCGGATCTATCTCTGGATGGATCCTTCTAAATGGTTGCAACAATAATAGCTGCGCAATGGTCTCTAACCTGTGTAACTGGTTAGAGACCATAAAGGTCCCTTAATGTTTCATCTTTATTTATACACAGTCTTGTGAAAAAGTATTTTCCCCTTTTCTGATTTATTAGGGTTTTTTTTCCTTTGGAGGAATTTTTATCCAATCAAATTGGAACTTTGATTATGTCACTCTAAAAAGTTCCTACTGTTTCTTTCTTTGATTTAGGGCTGGAGTTGCTTCTGTACTTTGGATCTTTGTCCTGTTTCATAACCTCAGTGTGTTTGAACTTCAGAGTACAAACTGATGGTCAGACATTTACCTTGGTAGAGAGCAGAATTCATGGTTCTGTTAGTAAGAGCAAGTTGTCCAGGTCCTGAATCGGCAAAGAACGTCCAGACCATCACACTAGCACCGCCGTGTTTGACTCTGTTCTTGTTATGAAATGCTGTGTTAGTTTTATGCCAGATATAACGGCACAAGGTTCCTCCATTCATGGATGGTTCTCGCCGTGGTTCACTGGAGTCCCAAAGCCTTAGAAATGCTTTGTAACGTTTCCAGACTGATAGATGGGAATGACTTTGTTTCTTTAGATCGTTGGACGATGTGTTGGTTTTTAAGAGTTTTTGCTAAAACATGTAAATGTGAAAACATTTTATATTTTAAAAAGGAAACCCTGTGTTCCGTTTTCTGTGTTTGAGGAAAGCAGCCACCAAGTCTTTAAGGTGAGGACTCAGATATTTTCTACTTTTGGCAAGAGAATCTGAGGACACTGTGAACCTACGTTCTGTACAGAGAAGGTCGAATCACACTGACCAAGACATCTTGTAAAGTGGACTTTGATTTATGCCTTTCAGTGGTTGATCTTGAAAATGCACAGGTCCTTGCAGCCAAAATATTAAATAAATAAACTATATGTTTAAGTCTGGCAGTGAGCCATGCAGAGCAGATTTATTATTGTCATGTACTGCTGCGGGCAGGACAAACTCTGCTAAATATACCTTTAATATTTAATCCAGGTTATTTGAGTAAGGATGTAAATTGGAGCCAGTAAAACATGAAACACCAAAGGGATGAATGAGCAGAGCACTTAAAAAAATGTGCTTGGCATGTTGAAGGAAGGACTGAGCCACAATACTGAACAGTACCGGAGGCTGTTAAAGCCTCTCTCCATGGACCTTTTTAGTCTCTGCCAAAAGTTGGAAGTCATAACGAAAACCAATGATTTTGGTTTGAGGATACATCATTTTGACAGGGACCTGAAACAACACTTGAGAGTTATTTAGAAGCGGCAACATAAGCCTCTTGGACAAAGTGTAGATTCAGAGGACAAGTAAAAGCAAATCTAACAGGTCTGATGGAGATTCCGCAACTTTTCCTTGAATGATAACACTTTTTCCACCTTGGTTTGCTATTGCGCGTGTGTAACAAGTTTTCCTTTTGTTTATCTAACACACCATGTTCAACCAGAACATTTAAGCCATATTCAAAGCCTTGTTTGTGAATTGTAATGCCAGTTTTAGGACAGCGAAGGCTCTAACTGTATCCTTCTCTCAGTTGTTTGTTATTGAACACACACAAATCAACTGAAATGCTGACTTTGTGTGTGAAGCTAAGTAGCTACCTAGCAAACGACCCGTGTGGCTGGAAACTGAAAAGCTCTTTAAACCCTGGCTTCAAAGGTGAGGGCATCTCCATAGCCTTCTGTGGTAAAATAGCTAGCTTTACAGCATTAAATATGTGACATCACAGGGTTAGATGCATCTTTTATATACAGTCTTTGATGCTACTTATTTCATTTTTTAAAAAAAGTCTTTGATATCACAGCAGCACTTTTGCAATATTATTATTATTTCTTTTATTTGTTGCTACTAGCATGAAATTATTAGACTTGGTCGGATTCCCACACTTGATCATATACTCCGACCACAGAAAGAAACTGTTTGCGTGACACAGAAGCTCTTACATCAGCATCCAGACTCGGTGAAAAACTTACAGGATGTCCACTATTTATTTCTTGAGCTTCTCTCTCACTTTGCTCTGTACTCCGACAGTGTAGTCACACTCTCCCCCCCACACACAGCTCCCCCCCACACACAGAAATGCTGTGCGTGTCTGTGGTGTGGCGATCCATCTGCAGAAAGTCATGCAGAACAGGCCTCGGAGACTAAAATGGCCGCCACCCTGACCTGTGGTGCAGTTTCTCTAATGACCACCAGAGAGCACTCATGACCCTTTACAGGCCAAAATAAAGTCATTGCATGGATGGACCTGCACACAGACCCACAGACACACACAGAAACACGCACACACACACAGACCACTGGAAAACTCCATTGATTATGTCACATCAACATGTGTTGATCTTATCTAAGTAAAAATGGAAGAATTAAAGGTAAATAGCAAAAGCTACAGCCACCTTTTGTCCCGTGCCTAAATGATGAGCAGCATTTATGTTAATAGTCTCTACAATGTGCTATACCACACTGGTTAATTCTCCCAGTTTCTATTTGCGGTATCTTTAATAGAACATGTGCACTCATCTAGTTTATTAGAGGCATCAAACTACTGCTAGTTAGACCCCGCCCCCTTTACTCACAGGGCAGTTTTTGTTCCCAGCTTCCACAAAATGCTGAAAACCTTCCTGTGAGTGAGATCTGGCTCCATGCTGACTGCCACATCACATCACTTCAGTAGATTTGTCAGTCAGACAGTCATGCTGCCAATTTCCTGTTCAGTGTCACCCCAAAGGTGCTCTGCTGGATTCAGACCAAACCTGCATCTGCAGGACTTTACATGAAGGTAGCATCTCTCTGGTTTCAGGGATTTTGTCTAGGATGGTGGAACACTGAGATAAAAGCTTTGTTTAAAATAAAACTCAAATGCATCCTCCAAAAAAAATAAAAAAATGCTAATTGGATTTGAAAATCCCAATAATTTTAGGACGACAACCACAAATGTCTCCAACAACTTCTGTTGTCTCATTTAGCGACTTGTTAGCAATAACATGTCCAGATTATGTGAAAACACATGAGCGTGATACTTGTATATTTAATGATGCAGGATAAAAGTAACCACAGACCATATTTTAGGCATCTAAGCCAAACCCCTGGAAGTGAAATGGACATTAATGACTTATTTCAGGGTTTTAGGACTCATTCCTGCAGCACTCTGTATGTCAGTGTTTAACAAAGCATGGTTGGATTCCTTTTCTTGCTTCCGTCTGCAGTGGGCTGAGGGACCACTGAATGACTTGTATTCTATTGTTAGTTTCACATAAGAATGCTTTCTGGCAACTAACCATGAGTGTGCACTGTCCCAGGACCAGGAAATATGTAAAAATAGTCCTTCCTTGGAGCTTAATGTGGTTGAAAGAGTTTGAGCATGGGACAAGAGTCTAAGTTAGGATCTTTTCATAAGTGGAGAACAAAAACAAACTATGAAGGACACAAATATCATATGTGAATGCACATACGCATTTATGGTGTTGTGCAATAACTTTTGTATACTTGTGTAATCCTTGTTAAATGTTAAAGCTCCTGCTCTTTGTGGCATTATTTAAGGGGGAATGTATCCACAGAGTGACACATTTCACTTTGACTCACACATTTCTTGTGTTCTCTCTCTTTTTTAAATTTGAGCCAATCACACATCTGCTTTCCTAACTGCTTATTCACAGTGAGCTGGGGCCTATCCCAGCTGACACAGGGTGACAGGTGGGGTACACACTGGTCAGGTCACCAGTCAAACCACAGCTCGAGGCAGACAAACACACTCTCAAATCAATAAGTATGGCCAATTTAGAATCACCAGTTAATTGAACACGCACGTCCTTGGGAGGAGGCTGGACCCACACAGGAACAGATGTGTTGGAGAACTCTCAGTATAAGGGATAGGAGACAAAGGATAAAAATGCCGTACAGTCCTGCAAAGTAGGACATCTGGTTGACTTAGCAACTATAGAAATGTGTTTCCTGTGATGTGAATAATGTCTGACTCTAGCAAACACATTTCCGTCCTGTACTAAAAGAAGGGTGGGTAAAACTCCCTGGAAAGTGGGATGCCAAACAATAAAACCTAAGCTGTTCTGCAGACACAGCACACTGGAAAAAACACAGAATACCTTTTTTCCACTGATGTGGTGCCACAGCTGCTGATGGTACATTGCCAGCTCTGTCAGAGTGCCTCATGCAATCAAGCCTACATTTCAACAGGTTGGAGAGTATGTGGTAAAAAGTTAGGATAATTGTGATGGCCAAACCCGTGGCCACACTCTAAAGTCGGTAACTTTTGTATTTTCATTCTTCATTTTGAACATAGTAATACATTTTAGTTGCCAATAACTTTATACTTTGGATACATTTGTTCTATTTGTAAGCGCGGACATTTAGTTTACTTAATTTCTTTGCTTTCTGACTAACTTTTGTCTTTTTATTTCTTACCTGCCATCATCCCTGGGAGTTGCTGGACAAAAGATGGTAGCCAGGGTTTGAAACCATTAAATACAAAGGAAGATAATTGGACCACACCACCACTTCCTGCTGAAGGGGGGGTGTGTGTTTTCTTTACTTTAAAAACAAAGTATTTGTATTTAATTAAATATTTGAGTTTAGGGTTTAATGGGGTTTTTGATTTTCTTCTTTAGTGTTTAGTTTATTAACAAAACAGATTGTACTGCATCGTTTGTGATTTATGATTGTGTTTTGTTTGTTACCCCTCATGTGTCACAATGGTCTGATCAGCCATTATATATACCCTTGTATGTCATTTCATGTTTAGGTCAATTATGTATGTTTGGGCAGTCATTTGGTTTGTTAAGGTTGCAGTCTTTGCCTGAGTTCAGTTTTGTTTCTTTGACCTCTTTTATGAGCTCAACATTTATTAGTCTTGTAAATATAATTTTTGGGGGTTAAATAAATGGAAACTATATTTTTCTAATAATTCCTGGGCTCCTCCTGTTTTTCAACTCGGTCCATCACAATAATATAATGAGTAAGACAAACATGGGAGAATAGCATAGCGTGCTATTGGATCACTGTGGTATTGTGTCACTTCCTGTTCTTGTTTTTCTGCAGGTTAATCTGTGCAGCTCATTCAATTACAAGCCTTTATCTCGACCAGTCGTGGCAGATGGCCGCCCCTCCTTGAGCCTGGTTCTGCTGGAGGCTTCTTCCTGTTAAAAGGGTTTTTTTCCTTCCCACGAGTGCTTGTTCACAAGGGGGTCATCTAATAGCTGGCTTTTTCTCTTTATATCGCAGTCTTTACCTGCAATATGAATAAAACTGAATAGAATTGGAGAAAAGAGTCCTCAATTTTGCACCAGGAGTACTACTTCAGTCGTAAACAGCTTTGTTTTTGACACCAGAACAAACAAACTCTCAGAATCAGAGGTTCTTTGATGGTTCGTTTATATTTTTGGAGCAGTTGCAGTCTGTTTGAGGCAATAGAAAGATTCACAATTTCTCTTTTTAAAACACGTTTGGTCTAGCAAAAAAAAGGTCACCGACGTTATATCTCCATACAGGTCTCATAGTAAGTTTTCTCTGCCTAAGGATCACAAGGACATACATAACGTTCTCAGTTTCCAGATGCTTACTAACAAAAATACAGCACGTCTGCTTTCCATCCAGTGTGTGTTTGTGGTGGTGGGGCTGCTGCATTATGAGTGGCTTTATCAAGCATTGGAAGATGACCTCTAGGACTTCTAAACAGCAGTGAGTAGGGAGAACCAGGGTCTGGTGTCACCTTTTACAATTTAGCCTTCTTCACTTACAGAAAAAAACAGAAGAAAGAAAAAAGATATTTCAGTTTGACAACAAAATGGGCATGCATTGACGGGTGCATGTTTTGGTATCTGAGACCAAATCATCTAAAAAGCAGAGGTGCACTGGTGACACACTCCAGTGCATCAGTGCAGCACGATGGGTGGAGTCTGAAAACATCTTGTGCACAGACAGAATACAGACGTGTCGGAAATACTTCTCACGGATGTAGCACCTTTGCTAGACTGCCTCAGTGACGACGTGGATCCCTGGGCCCTGGTCTACTCTACTCCACATAGCAACAACATTACTACACAAAGTCGACAATTTTAGTGTGCTGACCAGAAAATTAACTGTGAACAAAATTCCTACATGTAGCTGTTTTTTTAAATTTTTTTTAAACAAGTCTTTTTTTCCATAATGTTGCTGCTATAAGTGACATCCACATCTGCACATAAAAAGTATATATTTATATTTATATAATATATATCCGTACTCTATTAACAGTTGTTGTCTACCATGAAGTTAGAATTGCCAACCATCTCTCAGAAAAGTTTTTTCTTTTTTTGTACTTCAAACATGAATTAATTTACAACACAGAAATCAACTAATTTTGTACAGCTCTGGAGGAAGTGAGGCTCCACAGTCCCTCCGCGATTTTCCTTTTTCTCTTCTTCTTCTTCTTTTTTTTTTTCTTGTTACGATTTTACTCGGGAGTTTCGGTGCAGTTCGACGGTTTTCATCCCAGTAAAACACAGTTTAGAAAAACCAAAGCATTTACAAAGTGGCATCGTTAGAACGGCGAGGATGTTCAGCTGAAAACCTTCAGCTCAACTTGGACCCTTGAATGCACCGTCAACACTCCCCTTTCAGCTGAGGGGAAGTATCCCTCGTTTGGCACGGTTATATACATGATGAACACAGGTCACTCAAAGGAGGGGGGTAAAAGCAGGGGAATGGTGTGGAGAAGATGTAACGCTAGCCTAAAAAAGCCCAAAAAACAACCTTTCTTTAGCAGTTCTGGCAGCTGTACTAACTGTAGGGCAGTGGAAAGGAGCACCGTGACCTTGCAATTCATATCCAGTGTTTCACATTAGCAACATCCATGATATGGGTTCTGAAAGTCTGTGTGTGTTTGGGTAAGGGGGCGTACTTGGTGAGGAGGTGAGTCGGAACCAGTGGCAAAAGGCCTGACATGACACAGAAAATAGTGCAATGTACAGTACGCAATGCATCTCCGTAAATGTACAGTGTACATCAAATACTATACAATCAGAATTAAAAAAGTAGAAACACAAAAAAAAGTGTTACAAATGACCAAAAGTCTTTCTTGCCCAGAGAATACGTCACGCTGAAGCCACAGACAGAAAGAAAAGTTTTGTGTGACAGACGTCCTATGTGTCCTACAGTTCTTGTGCTTCACTTTACTAAAACCCATGGATGCTATACCACATATTTACAGATTCCTCTTGGGGTATCTCTGACTCGCTGCAAAACATCTCATCCTCAAGTCCACCAATCCATGTTTATCTTTCATCGTCCTTCTTCATCGCAAAACCGTTTGCCAACTTTTGCTCTCCCGCTTCCCTTTCATGTCCCGACTCTCTTCTCTCTCTCCGGGTTAGTCTCCGATTGACATTCTGTATCCTACAAGAAGCGGGCGCTCTTTCTGTCTGGTGAACCTTCTCTACCACTTGTTGATCACAAACGAAACACAGAAAGAAAATGTGTCGGTCAGTTTGGTTGGTGGTGTGCATGCACATGCTTGGCCAATCCTCCATTTGCTTCTGGTCCTCTCCTTCCTCTCAGAGATGTCCCTGAAAGGAGTGAAATGTCTATCAAGCTTGCTGCCCGTGTCTCCTTTCATGCGCTCCATCCTCCCCCTTCATCATCCTGCTATCTATGATGCTACTCAGGAACTACAGGGGAGGATGGGGAGGGAGGAAGGGAACCTGTCCTTTCATCTTCTTTCACTCCACCTTTAAGCCACCCCCCCTTCACTTCCGGGTTTTCTTTTATCCGTACTCTCCTCCTCCTCCCTCATCTCCCCTTACACCCAGGAATCTGGTGAGGCTGGGTAGTGGCTGGTCTCGTAGTTGAGCTCGCTGTAGGGCCGCGAGGCTGAGTAGAAGTCTACATAGTTGCCGGTGGACTTGAGGCCCTGCAGGTGCATGTTAAGGTCACCCTGCGGGGGACGCCCTCCAGCATGAACCTGGTTCTCGTAGCAGGCCTGATCCTCGTAGTTGCTGCTGTCAGGTGGAGGAGGATTTTGGAAAGGGGGGTAGGGTTCTGATGGCAAGCCTTGAGAAGATACCTAGAAAGAAGGAGAGCACAATCATTACAAATGACCACTCATGATTGGTCCAAGTCACCACAAGTGAGAGTGAGGGGAGTACTGGGAACCATGAGGTTTCTCATGTGACACTGCACATTGCTATAGAGTCGTCCACCATTTTGGATGTGATACAATACAAAGCTTCCAAGCGATTGCTTTGGTTGCTAGCAGATGTCTACTTAGTAGACCACTAGATGAGTGGCTGTAAAATCTGAAAAGGTGTGACACAAACAGGAAATGGAGATGTTCACCTTCAAGTTAAAAGCTGTGCCTTAGGGCTCACATTTCAAAAGTTGGAACTTTAACTTTGAAGGCAAATTTCCAATTTGTGTTGCACTTTTTACAGTTTCACTCCAGCTCAGAGAGCAGCTGGCCAGTATTTATACACAAGTCCATCACTTCTATTCAAACTACCACCGCAACAATATGCTTGTGACCAAACCAACCACGAGGAGCTTTTTTTCCATAGCAACAGGTAGTTGACAGATGGTCATGCATCCGTCTTTAAGCGTTTGATTGGGACCCTGTTCACTTGATTCTACGTTGTCACTATTATTGTCAATGCCATGTCCAAATAAGGTAGCATCACATGGTTAGTGGTCACATGTCTGCAAAACCTCAATAAAACTGGGTTCTGACATTCCTTCATCAAAGTGGGTGATGGGTAGCGATTAGCTTTTACCGGCAACACCATCCAACCAAAGACTAGACTGTGAGAATAACTGGAATTCACGGGTGTATTGCCATAGTGCTTAAACAGCATTCTTTATAGGTTTACAGTGACCTTTTAGGACTTCATAGTGTCTTTATAGCATCACTATTAAAGCCTTTACGATTCAGTTTCACTGTGATATTTCCTATTCACCTAGAACTATACAGCAGATCTTCCTCTTAAAGGTGAGATGAGTCATAAAGAATTGAATAAAGCTGGCAGCGCAGCATGGAAATATTAATGCTTTCTAGTCTATCAGATGCTGAGTGTTGTGGGTTTTCAAACGTTTCCTCAGTGAACTCGGGGCATCTTAAACTATTGAGTTCAAATATCTAACCACTAACTAACCTGTCTTTGGTGTTTTTATTTTTTCCTCTCTCTTTACACTTTACTCTTTACATCTTATTTTTATTCACACCTGCTTCTTGTAGTGTTAGTAATTCATTTCATGAAGGAAGGAACCTTCTGAGTTTATAGTGGACATGTATAATGGCTAATTTACACTATGAAGCCCAAAAAATGGTAAAAATGGTAAATGGCCTGTATTTATATACTGTAGCGCTTTACTAGTCCCTAAGGACCCCAAAGCGCTTCACACTACAGTCAGTCATTCACCCATTCACACACTGGTGATGGCAGCTACATTGTAGCCACAGCCACCCTGGGGCGCACTGACAGAGGCGAGGCTGCCGGACACTGGCGCCACCGGGCCCTCTGACCACCACCAGTAGGCAACGGGTGAAGTGTCTTGCCCAAGGACACAACGACCGAGACTGTCCGAGCCGGGCTCGAACCGGCAACCTTCCGATTACAAGGCGAGCTCCCAACTCTTGAGCCACGATCGCCCCTGTAAAAATGACATAGATTTACCGCTGTGCCATCTTGTGCCAGTACAGAACGGGATTTCACTGGGTAGGGTGGTTGGTTGGTGATAAGAGATAGCATAAACAAATGTAAGTCTAAATAGTAACAATAACTCAGTGTAAAAAAAGTCCTCCACACTGTCTTCATTCATAAAAGCCTTACATTATTTTTCAGTTTCAGTGCAGCTGGCCAAACAACGAGAAGCAACAGCAACAAACACTTACTGCTAAAGAGAGAGAGTGACAGTGGACGGTATATCCTTGCTTTTTCAACATAAAACTCATTTTTGCAGATAGGGGCAGTTCAAAGTGACCCCCTTACATTGCTTTTTAGTGTCAGTGCCCTTGTTTTCCACTGAGTTATCAATTGTGTCACTAGTTTGCTAACATAAACTAATGTAAGTCTATTAGCCGCAACCAGCCAACCAACCCAGTGATGATTACGCTAAACATGTTCTAAAAACGTTAAGCCGCACAGTGTTAAACCTATGTTAGTTTTTGAGAGCAGGGCTCCATGATGTAAATTAGCCTTTAATGCTGGTGTGTCAGCTAGAGGTAACAAGTCACCTTTAGCATGTACATGAAACCTGATTATGGAATGTGTTTCCTAAAGAAAGGGACTTGTCATACCTGATTATACTTCAGGTCATCAGTTGGGGACACATACGCTCCTCTGTGTAGTGTTGAAGACCCACCGGAGATTTGACCTGCAGACACAGTGAGGATGAGTTCATGCTCTAAATCGTTTACTCAGTTTTTATAATTAAAGTAATCAAATGGGAGTAGGCTGTCAGTGGTATCAGCTGGACACCTGCTGCATTAACATTAATGAAGAGGATGATGAATGGTGATTAAGGAGAGCTTGGATTTTTTTGTTTCCAATGTAACAACTGCTCTTGGTGTGAACTCTCTCCAAGGATAGACCGCATACAACAATGAAACCCTCGCTGAAACCCAGGATGTTGACAACAAGATTAAAGCTCTGTGCTGATGGTGATGTTGGAAGAAAAATGCTGCTGATAATGAAAAGTTCCTTATAAGATATGATGGTGCAACAGCCTAAGGCCTTCCAATGGGAAGATTGGTGTTAGAGGCCAGAGGCCAGAACTGACTTAGCTCAATGGACCAGAGAGAAAACACAGACACAGCTTTCAGGTGTGCAAAGTGAGCAGACAGCAGAGGTCAGTGGTCTCAGATGCTAGTTGGGTAGTCATAAAACAATTCATTGATAAGTGGCTGCTCATGTGAGTCTGCAGCGTCTCTAGGTTTCTCAGTCAAAGCCACCCTTCACCTGACACATCCAATTTCAAAGCACTAACATAGCACAGGTAGAAATACTAGCTTGAGGACTCATAAAGGGACTTCACTGACCAGTTGGTCATGTCACTGTGGCTACATCCATCTTTTATATACAGCCTATGCATATAATCAGGGGTGCACATAAGTGGTCCGCAGGTGTGCATTCGCTGTCAAAATAAAAGACGCACACCAGATAAGAAGTTGCAACGCGCGTTTGCGTACATATAAAGGCAGTGTTTTTGTCCACTAGAGTGGGATTTTCACGGCATATTCTGCACCACATCTCTGTACGTTCATCATTTGTTTGAAGCCAGCTCACCTCCTGCAACCACTTTTCCGAGAATACGCGCTTCTTTTGTGGTTCGGACTCCTTCTGAGATTTCTTTAGGGTTGGAGGAACACCAAAGTAATTGCTTAAAGGAGCTTCTTCGACATCTTTAAGAGTTCTAAACAAATGTCTGTCCTCCTCCAGAAAATCTTAAGTACGCAAACGCGTGTTGCAACTTCTTATCTGGTGTGCGTCTTTTATTTTGACAGCGAATGCACACCTGCGGACCACTTATGTGCATCCCTGCATATAAGAAGGTTTATGGTTGGAGTGGCTTAAAATGGAAAGATTTAGTCTAATTTATTGGTGTCTGTTTGTCCAGACAATTTTTATAGAGAAATTTAAAGCTGCTGCTAGCAGTCTGTTAGCTAACCAGCTAACTAACTAACCAGCATCTCTAAGACTCTCACACTAACTAGCTACATCTTGATTAAATGTATTTTGAGTCACCTGTGATGTTTTTGCACAATGTCAGCTTTAACACAATAACAACAACCTACTGAACAAAAAAGACATAACAAGTGTGATGTAATAAGCACTGACAGGTGGATTTATATTTGGGCAAAGCTAAACTACAAAAATGAAAGTGGTTTTAATCTTTTCACTGCCATGATCTCTCTCGGGATAAAAATAAATAGTTTCCCATGAAACGATTCCTTTCATATCTCTTAACGCACACTCCTTTATACTAAAACCATCACCTCTGCTGGAAACAGCTTTATGTGTGTTTGTGACAAATGTGCAGTTTGGAATTCCTACCCGCCATGGCGTCTTTCCGGGATGTGTGCTCGCCCTTGCTGCTATGGTAACTGGCATTGCCAGTTGACTCGTAGTCTGCCTTTCTCTCCTTCAATGCCATCATCTCCCTGGGGGACGCAGGAGCACTCGCTACATACACACACACACACACACACACACACACACACACA